ATCTTTTAGGTAGTCACTCTTCTGCAGCAATTATTTTGGATTAATGAGATTTCAGTGTGTATATAGGCTTTCCCATAAGTAAAGGGAAATTTTTAAAGGAGTAATATATCTCAAGAGCGATAAAAAAAAGTTTAAATTTCAGATTTTTCTAAAATTTAAATTATTTGGATTTTTTTTTTAATAAGTAACATTTTGTGTTGAATAGGAGGCGATAATTAAAAAAATATTTAATTGAGACAGTTAATAATTGCTTCATAGTAAACTACACAAAATTTCCATATAAAACAAGTTGATTTTATCTTTGTTAAAATCATTTTAAATGGACTTTTAAGCGGCTAAAATGAGCCAAATTCTGAATCAATAATCAACGATTTTATGAAAATCAGAATGTAGCTTAGTTAGGCTGCTTAATTTTTTACATCCCATTGTTCCAGAAGTCGAAAATATGTTAAACAATTTTTTTGTCCAACTTAATCATTATTTTTTTTGCAAAAACAATTTTTCCCTTTAAAAAAAAGGTCGATATATTTTTCTTATTTTTTAAAGATTTTTTTATTAAGATTTATCACTTTTACTTTTAGTTCGATAAATAAAAAGTTAAGGTTTCTGATTTTTTAGTGTCAAGAGGGTTATTTATTTTTTTTTTTTTAATACTAAATTTGATAGATTACTGAAAATAGTGCATTGTAGAAAATGTAAATAAAAAAATTCTAAGAATCAGTTTCACTAATTTTTATATTAATGTTCCACATATGGAACAATGGTAGGTTCACGCTATAGAAACGCTCGTTCTATTCATTGTTCCCTACCTTCTTTTCTTAGTAAGAAGCTGCTCATGGAAATTCATAGAACTACTAATTGCTATTCTAAGATTTTCCATTTTTTGTATAATTCCTTACCGATAGAGAAGAACTACGTAATTTTTTTTTTAGTTTCTTTGAACACGTATTATTGGAAATATTTCGCCAAACATCTGTTGGTGTTAGTTTTCTCAGCCATCACCGTGTTCTTGTAGTGACTGCATCACGTGTCTTACTCGCATTTTATAACAATTAGTTAATGCGGGCTTTACCGCGGAAAGATGGTCCGCTGACAGGTCCGAAGACTTCCATCCCTCCTAGCATGCCTAAGGCAGGTGGACATTATATTATTTCGGCTTCCCAAGGAAGGTGTCTTCATTGCCGCACCAATACAATGATGCAAAGAATGCCAGAAACGCATTCATATTGATTCTTTCCCCAATATCACGTATTGTAAATCGTATGTTAGTATAACATTTTTTTTTTCTTATTTCATACTCTTACATTCGCATTTTCTATTTATTTTACAAAAAACTATAATGTTTTCTATAATATAATAATTATTTTTTGTCAATATTATTAAAAACAACAATATTCTTGCACAGGCGGATCTACGAGGGGGAGGGGGGCTTTCGGGCTGAAGCTTCTCCCACCAAAAATGGTAAAATGTAACCATGTTTTATGGTAAAAAATATTTTAAAATTATCTATTTTGTACGTGTAATTACATTTAATAGGACTTCAAGAATCACTTAAAACAATTTCATGTAGATAGTTAGTATCTTTCTTTTTTTCCAAAATAATATATACATATATAAATATATACACGAAAAAAAAAAAGCTTTCGGGCTGAAGACCCCCCAAAATAAAATCCTGGATCCGCTAGTGTATTCTTGTATTGAATATTCTAATACAACTATTCTTTGTATAATCTGAACCTGCCATTGTTCCGTTTCTGGAACAAGTTGGAAAAGCACGAAGGAAATTTCATTTTTTGGATTTTTTGTTTGTAAATATCTAAACTGAACCATATTGAGACCAATATTACAGAAAAAAAAATCTACTGGATTTAGGGGGCGGCGTGTAAAAGGTTAAAAGTCACCTTTAAATGGTTGTAACAAAGCCAAACTATTTGTTTTTAAAGAAATTTTGTCTAGTTTACTATAAAGTAATTGTTAATTTTATTCAGGTTTTGTTATGATGAAGTAAATTGTGAAGAATTAGTTATAAATGCTGATTATTTTGACAGAGCATGATGAAATGTAAGCAGTTGTTCGTTTTGTGGCGCAGTTTATCCGTGTACTTGGACGAAGAAGGAATATGTTTCAGTTTTAAATTTTATTTAAATTACAAATTTAAATAGTAAAGTTAAAATGAGCAGTGTCCATCTTGAACATGGCGCCCCCGGGCAGTTACGTCATCTCCGAAAAATTAATTTTATTTCGTAAGCTCCCTTATATTAAGTAGTATTTGAATTTTATTTCATTCAATATATTTCTAATTCAGTTGTTTTGTGAGTAGCCTAAAATTAATTATTCTCATACGGTTTATAATTTATTTTTTATTCATAAGGAGTTGCTCGGCAATGGAAACTTATTATTTGCAACAAATAATTTCACAATCCTAATAAATTTTTTTGTTGGTTTGATTTTAATTATGAGTATACTAGATTATTCAAAAGGAGTTAACCCCTTTTAAAAGTTAATGACACAGTCTTTGTTAATTTTAATTATTTTTATTTTAAGCAATTAATTCAAGTCCAATATCGATAATCCACAAAATTGAATAAGTTAAGAAATTTGAATCTTTGAACTGCATTGTTGTGAGGTATTTTCAACTTTCGTTATTTGGGAAGTTAGTGCGCTTCTGACTTGAGGTAATTAAGTTGATACTTCACCCTCGACCACTACCGTCCTCACCATGAAAAATCATGAATTTCGAGTTCTAATTCCGTGGTCCATAGTGTTGCCCAAATGCAAGACCGAGACGAGTCTTGGTCTAGCAAACTCAGTCTTGTTCTTGCGCAAGAGTCTTGCAGTTACTTATTAGCTTATTACTATAGAGATATTACTGTAATTTTTAAGATAGGAGAACCTAACTAAGCCCGAATGAAAAATTAGAGGAGTTAAATGCAAAAGTATATTGGTTATTCCAATTATTAACATACAGTAACTAAGAGTGTCAAGTATTAGTAACTATTTTGACTTAATTTTTATTTAAAAAATCTATTTTTTTTACCAGTCCTGGTCTTGGTCTTGCAACGGTTAGGCGTCCTTGGTGTTTGTCTTGGTCTTGCACTTTGCGAGACCAAGACCGATTTCGGACAACAGTAGTGGTCCAGACCCCTTTTTATTAAATTATTAACATCCGCCTAAAACTTCGTGAATAGCTTCATCCTATCGTAACCTACAATTTTTTATCTATAAAGATTCTCAGAAATGGGGGTTTTCTCATTAACTTAATTATTTTAATAAGATATCAAAAACTAGTAAATGTCCATTTGCTTTCCACTTGATTCGTAAGATAATTTGATCACAAAATCGAGAAAAAAATGTGGTCTACAATAATATTGCGCCATTTGGCCTATATAACCTCGTTATTTTAACATGTTTTGGATGGAGGTTACGCCAAACGACCCAATATTTTCATAGGCCACCTTTTTTATCGAAGTGGAAAACAAATGGGTGTTCATGTTTTTTTAGTACCTAATTAAATAGACAAAGTTTGCCAATCTTCAGATTGAAAACGCCCCAATTCCGAGAATTTTCATAAATAAAAAAGTGTTAGGTTACGATGAGATGAAGACATTCTTGAAGCTTTAGGCGTTTGTTAATAATTTGATAAAAAGCTGCCTGTACCTCGGACTATATGACATTGCTGCATACAAATTATGTTTTATATTGCAAAAATTACAACGTTTTGATGGTTTATTAAATTACACTTAGCACAGAACTAATTTAATAACTAGTGTTCTAATTAATTTTGGATATATTATAAAACTTTAAATGTTTATAACTCATAAAATATTGTTTATTATATTTTTATTTAACGTTTATTGCATTACATTTACTTGAAAACTAATACATTTGTAAATACCAGTAGGTATTGGACAGATAGTTATATTGTTGGTTACAAGTTATGTTTATTAACGCATAAGTAATAACTGGTAATTTAATTAATTCTCCCAGGTTTGTTTTCGTTTATTTATGTTTTTCTTATTAATGTATTTTGTTATATAATACCATTTTAATTCTTACAGATTAATAAAATCAGTTGTTTTAAAACTAAGTTAAAAATTAAATTAGAAGTATTGAGTAAAGAAGGAAAGTGCAAACAATGGATGGAACAAACGGATCAAAACTTTTTGTGGGTTTTATTAAGATAGACGAAGATAATTATGAACTGGTGGAAATTTCCGAAAACAAACCTGTAAGAAATAATTAAATTACACGTTATTACTTATTACACGTTAATTGAGTTAACAAACAAAACAAGTTGTAACCAACAATATAACTGTTTGTCTAATACCACCTGGTATTAACACATTTATAAAATATGAAATGTGCAAACATTTTTGTTCTATATACCTCTTTCTCCCCAAATGAGTCAAAGGAACCTCATCTGAGATTTCTCCCCAGACCTTTGTATTTCTTGCCATCCCACTGTAAGCATAAGCAAAATGTTTTTGCCACATTTAACAGTAATTTATTCAAGTTTGTCTAATCACTAAACGAATCTAGCTCTTCCTGAATCTTGACAAATGTTCCTAATTATTAGAAAGGAGAAAGCATAAACAGATTTGGAAGCTGTAGAATTGAAGTGATGGGAAGGATATAACTAAATTAGATAGAAAAAGTAACTTTTTCTAAACCTTTGTTTTGATTATATGAGTCCTATCATAAATAAAAAAGGTGTTCTATAAAATATGTTGGTAATCAAATGATACCAACTTAAGCTAAGGTCTCTTTTGAAGAGTTTGCTAACCTATTTTCAAAGGTCAAAAGTAGAAATTGAATTTTTACAAATTTATACAATAACACTTCTAAAACTTAGTGCTATTTGTACAATCTTTAAGTATAATAAAGTCTTAGATAACATTTTAATTACAACATGAGTGGTTATTTATTAATTATTTTGGAAATCTATTGTGAATAATTGGTTTTATAAATTATGACATTTTTTTTATGTATATAAATCTTAGGCAGACGCAAAAATGGTTTTTGATGTGATTCAACGAATGGAAGATACTGAAGCCTTTTCGGAAGAACTGCTTGCTGCTATGAAAAGGCTTTGGCAAGATGCAGGCGTACTTGAATGTTTTGGTAGATCTAATGAATACCAACTAAATGACTCAGCAAAATAGTACGTATGAATAGTTCTATAATTTTTCAACATTGTTTACCTAAGATTTATAAAAGCAAAGTATGGGAAATTGTAAATTATATTGGATCAATGTTAACAGTAAGGAGTTATTTAACGATAACTTCCTAAGAATCCAACTCTAATACACAAAACACAGTTTATTGATTGATTTTCCTTCATAGATTACTGGTGTGCAGGACAGATAATTCTGCCTCTGGGCTAAAAACTGTTTTCATCATAGCTAAATATTCTGTTTCTTTATTAAATGTGACATCTTGTTTTTATAAACTAACATATTAAGTTGATTTATGTCTTATACTTATGAACTCAATACCTACTAGAATTCAAAATACATTTGTCAAACTATATTACATAAATTATTAACTAATGGAATATTTACAGCTTTCTTGATGATTTGGATCGGCTAGGGGCTCGAGATTATCAACCAACTGAACAGGATATTTTGCGTACCAGAGTAAAAACTACTGGTATCGTTGAAGTGCACTTCTCCTTTAAGAACCTTAATTTTAAGTAAGTGTTTTACATCATGTTGCTTATATTAGTTAACAGTTAACTGTTATTTACATATGTGAGTTATTTAAAAAAATAAATTGGTTTGAGATAATTATTAATATATGATTAAAAGCTATTAAATACTATTAACATAATTTTTAATTACATTTGTAGTAATGTTAAGATATTAAAATCATAATTTTGAATTTTAGTATCGATTACTATTACAACTATTACAGGTTATTTGATGTTGGTGGTCAGCGCTCAGAACGAAAAAAGTGGATACATTGCTTTGAAGATGTTACAGCCATCATCTTCTGTGTAGCAATGTCTGAATATGACCAAGTTCTACACGAAGATGAAACAACAGTAAGTAAATTTAAAAGCCTATCTGAGAAATAATACTTTAAAAATAAATTTTATGATTTATCTATTAGCAGTATCTTACTTGTATAATTTGTAAGTGGCATATGTATGTATATGCAAAATATTTATATAATTATTTAATCATATTTTAAATACCACTTAGTGTAAGTACCATGTAGTGCTTAGTAAATAGAACTGTGAACGGTTTAGTTCTTTATCTGGCTAATGAACTATACAAATGAAATTTTAAAGATAATACAAGAATACTTTCTATATTACCATATAGAAGCTACATTTACTTTCACAATCACTTTTAATTGATTAATTAATATTAATGAATTTTAATACATAAATACTGTCATTATATATATAATCCCTATTTTTTATTTCCAGAATCGAATGCAAGAATCTTTAAAACTCTTTGATTCAATTTGTAACAACAAGTGGTTCACTGATACTTCCATTATTCTATTTTTAAACAAAAAGGATTTATTTGAAGAAAAAATTAAAAAATCTCCCTTGACCATATGCTTTGTGGAATATGCAGGTATATTTAATAAAAAGTTTCAATATCTAATATTATTACTTAATTAAGATTTTTGTATCAAAGCTGAGATTTTATTAATATTTATTTCAGGCAGTATATGATTTTAATATTATTAAATTTATATTGATTATAGCTTTTTTAGACACAACCTACATCTTTTACAATATTGCAACAATGTATTCATGAACTATAAACTTCTTTTTGATTTTTACAATTTCTATTCATGCTTCTAGAAACTTCATAGAATGTAGAATCGACACAATGTATCTTATGTCTATCCATCTGAAAGTTGGTTAAAAACTTAAGTAATCTTATAACATTAAATGTAATGATTTATTATTTTTATATTTAAATAGTCATAAAAATGAAAGTTGTTCAAAAAATCTACATTGCACTGAATTGATAAGATTCCTAAATATTCATGAAAGATGTGGCATTGAAGTTTCTAGAACTGTCTCAGCATGGACAGAACTAGACAAAGGAAGAGGTTGCATAGATAGGCTAGGTTATATTTTATTATTTTGGGGGGCTTCAGCTCAAAAGCTCTTCCCCCTTCGTAGATACACCCGTGATTATTGGCAATTAAATTGAATAATTTTATCAATAAGTGTCTTTGGAGAATAACAAATTTGTTTAATGTAGATATATTGTGAAGTAAATGGGTGTATTAGAATTGTTTAAACCACCAGATCATTGGGTATATATATATATATATATATATATATATATATATATATATATATTGATTAATTATAATACAAATTTACATTAGTGTTATAGGTGAAAATGTGTATACATTCTTATTATTTACTTCCTATTTATAATGTAATGCTATTTCTGTGTATAATGTTGATTTTTTTATTTCATTTTTCCTGCTGTTAAACTAATTTGCTCTCAAGCTTTTAAAATTTTATTGATTTCATTAAAAAGAGTGTCCCGTAAGTAGAGGAAAATTTGTATAGCAGTGGTAGTAGACCTCATGAGGTACAAAAAAAAAAAACGTTCATATAAATAATGGGCCAATTTTCAGCAGAAAAGTAGGAATTTCAACTTTTGTGATTTTTTTTTTTTTTTAGTCATATTTTTTGTTGAATAGGAAGTGTTAACACAAAAAGAATTTGATTCAGGTAATTATTAGGTAAATTAGGTAAAATTGCTTCATAGTAATCTATACAAAATTTCCTTCAAATACAAATAGAATTTGTCTTTGTCTAAACCATTTAAAGAGGGTTTTTGAGCGGCTAAATTAAGCTAAGTTCTGTTTTAAAACAATTTTAAGTTATTTGCAATTTTTCTCATCATACAACTATACTACAGATACCCCAATTTTCAAACAACTTCCTCCTTTAATAAGCATTAAGTCCACATCAATTGAGTTGAGGTTTATTTGGCAAAAACTTGATATTCACCTCAAGGTGTGTACAAAAATTATGTGATTTTATATCTCGTCACCTAAAAGTACCTGTGTTTTCAGCAAAAATGACTTCAATTAACTGTTGATTTTTTAAAATGTTTTTCATGTTAAATGGTTATAAAACTGAGTTTTTCTACCAGATCTCTGTCCTAAGAATTGGTTCATATTTATAAGTGACAAAATTAATATTTCTAGTCATAAAATGTAAGTTTAAAAGAAAGAAACCAGCTCATTGCTTCAATTATTTTCATGAAAACGTAAATATTAGGGTCAGGAACATTATTAATTTTGTCACTCATAAATATGGGTCAATTCCTATGACAGATCTGGCAGAAAAACACAGTTCCATAACCATTGTACTTGAAAAAGATTTTAAAAATCATTATTTTTAAATTTTTTTATTCATAAATAAAAATTTTATTTACGCAATTTAGTTTGCTTTAATACACCCCAGATCATGGAAAAACAAGAAATAAAAGTTTTGTAACTGTTAATTGTAGTCATTTTTGCTGAAAATATGGTTACTTTTAGGTGATGGGATATAAAATCACATAACTTTTGTACACAACTTAAGGTAAATCTCAAATTTTTGCCTAATAAACCTCAATTTAGTTAATTTGGACTTAAATCTTATTAAACGAGGAAGTTTTTCGAAAGTGTTTGGGGTATCTGTAACATATTTGTATGTTGAGAAAAATTGCAAATAACTTACAATTGTTTTAAAACAGAACTTAGCTTAATTTAGCCACTAAAAAATCCTCTTTAAATGGTTTAGACAAAGACAAACTCTATTTGCATTTGATTCTCTACATCCATTTCACAGCTGACATTCCAACCCACCCAAATACCCTTCTAGCAACATTTGCTGACAATGCTGCCATCCTATCATCCCACCCAGACCCTGAAACAGCATCCCTTAACCTACAAAGACACATCTCCCTAATAGAGACATGGTGCAACAATTGGCGCATCAAGATCAATGAATCCAAATGCAAGCATGTCACCTTTACCCTCCGACACAGATCCTGTCCACATATCCTTTTCAACTCAGTACCTCTTCCCATCTCAGACACAGTTCGGTATCTTGGTTCCTTTTAGACAAAAGACTAACATGAAACCCACATACCAGACTTAAAAGACAAAAACTTAACCGACAATTTGGCCAGTTATACAGACTACTTAACATGAAATCTAACCTCTCAATTGAAAACAAACTATTAATATACAAGACCATACTGAAACCCATCTGGACCTACGGACTTGAACTGTGGGGGACAACTAAATTTTCGAACATCGAACGCACCTAATCGTTCCATTCTAAAGTCCTTCGTATAATAGTCGATGCTCCTTATTATGTTACGAACAAAACCTTACATCATGACCTTAACATCCCTTATGTCCTTGACGTTATTCATCCTGATTTTCAAATTTTCATCAGAACCTAATCCATCATCCTAATCCCTTAGCACAATCCTTAACCAGTTCCAGTCATTCCTATAATCCTCCTCGAAGGTTGAAGCGGTAGTGGCCTCGAGATCTTTTGTAAATACATCACTAGAGTTCTGGCAATGGCCAGCTTCTCCACTCACGTCATGAGCGTTTGTGGCTTTAGTGCCCTCTCTTAGTCTCCACTGGATTCCCCTCCTAGTGATGCGGCTGAGAGAGAAGCGCTGGGATCTCTTGGAGTCTTGCCTTATCCTCCACACGTGGCGGAAATGGCGCGACTTGGAGCTCCCTCGGCTGACTGTAAATATTGTAAATAAGTATGAATGTGTTTTTATTTATTTATTTATTTTTTATTTAATGTTGCCTCATGTTTAATTTATTCTGTTATTCCAAGTTCTCTTTTCTTTTCTTTTGTTATAATCTTGTTTTTCTTTTATTGTATATATGGTATGTTTGTGTTTCATACATCCTAAATACTCAATGCCCTTGATTGAGGCAAAATGTATTTGTTATTCTCAATAAAATATTATTATTATAAAAAAAAATTTGCATTTGAAGGAAATTTTGTCTATGTTACTATGAACCAATTTTTAATTACCTGAATCAAATGCTTTTTGTGTTATCACTTTCTATTTAACAAAGAACATGACTTACTTAAAAAAACACAAAAGTTGAAATTCCTAATTTTCTGCTGAAAATTAGCCGATTATTTATATGACATTTTTTGTAGCTCATGAGGTCAACTATCACTCCTATAATAATTTCCAATAAAGAGACACTTAAGAGACACCTTGTATATATTGTGAAATGTTAATATCAAAACATTAAATTTTCTAATTTATAAAATTGCAAATTTATAAGTTATTGCATTTTTTTTAAATATTATACACTTGTTTGTTGTTTATCTCATTTGTTGTTTATCTCATGAGTAAACAGCTCCTGATCTACCTCATCAAGTTAAAACAGCAATAGGTTACTGTCATTATCTTCTTCTTTTTTTCCCTGAACATATTGATGGTAGATGTTAAGAGCAAGCCAATGTAGGTAAATTCCTGCTCTCTTTCAAATTTTAATTGGCCTGTTTCAATAAGACTTTCAGCTTAATGGTTTCTGTCTGTCTTTACCACCTTATTTTTAGTCTTGATTTCATTTGCTTTGAGACCCTGTCATGAAGTTGTCTGTTGACTTTCCAGAAAAGTGTTACTCAACTCAGTTTTGGATTTCATAGTAATGTCAATATCATCTGTAAAATCCTAAACTTGAATACCTTTGTTGATAATAGTTGATTTATGTATCCCTGAATCTCTTACTGTCCTTTTGAGCCCCAAAATAAACAGAAGACACACAAACCCATTACCTTATTGCAAACCCTTAGTTGTGGTTTTTGCTTACTCGAAAAGAATCCACTGTCATTTATAAGTAAGAGTAGAGGGTTAAAGCATCTTTAATAATGTCACTTTACTTTTAGTAAATACATATTTTTTTAATGAACTTTTAATTTAAAATTCATCCAATAAAGTAAGCAATAGCTATTTATTTCATAATTTGTTTTCTTACCATTACTAATGTTCTTGCCCTGGGTTTTTAAATTTGTCTACTCTCTCAATTTGTACCCTATAATAGTTATATAAATTTTATAGGATATAAACCACTCCCTGTATAACTATTCACAACTTATTTGTTTAGTGATTTTCATGTTCTTGTTCAGTAACTTTCTAGTTTGTTGAAGTTCAATATTATAGTGGAATTTCATTCAACCACAGTGAGGTATATGTAATCATCATAGGCTAGTAATCTTGTTTTTACTGGATCTATTATTTTATTTAATTAGTTTACTTTCTACAAATTTTCTCAGTTTATTTTCACAAATTTGGCTATTAATCTTCTCTTATTCACTAATAAGTAAAATACCCAATAGGTACTGGAATGATCACAGTCTACATTCTTAAAAGTTAGTATTACAATGACTACTTTCTAATCTTCAGCTATGGAACATATCTGCTTTATCATCTTCATAAACTTTAACATTTCAGATGTGATCAGCTGTCTTCTTTAAGTTTATTTTCTTATTAACAATAGTCATATTGTCTTTGCTTTGTGATGATCGTTTATTTCTTGAAGATCAGATGTGTCTTTATCATCATGCAACAGTTCATTCATTGCCATTAGCATTTCAGAAACTATGGATTCTGGCCACCTTCCCACTATATTTTTATATAAGGATAGAGGGGTAGATCAGTGGTAGGGCTCAAGGTCCCAGGTTTGAATCCCGGATCATGGCAGAAAAATTATTTATTCTATTCCATTGATCATGGGTCAACCTTGGGTTAGAGGGATCCTCTTGGGGCACACCCAGCCTCTAAGTAGAAACGCTTAATTAAAATAATTAATTAAGAGGGAAAAACCTGGCGGTTGAGCATGATCTTGGCCCAGTCTCCTTCCTGCACAACCGTTGACCTTGTAACAGTACTAAATAGTATTGAACCCAAGACCTTTCATGGATTTTAAGTGGTACAGGTATTAACAATAGTCATATTGCCTGTGTTTTGTGATGATCGTTTGTAAGAACAGGTGTGTCTTTATTATGGAACAGTTCATTCATTGCCATCAGCATTTCAGAAACCATGGACTCTGGCCACCTTCCCATTATATTTTTTTTTATGTTAGAAAATATTTTTATTCTTACAGATTGTCTTATGTAACAGTTTGTGGTGCTTTGAAACATATTCCTCCACATAATGATCAAATTCTTCCTACATTTTTCCTTACCCTCAATACTTTATTTTTGCTTTACTTTTCGTTTTATTTTCTCATATTTTAATATTTCTATAAGCTTATTAAAGTGGAATGAATGTTTTTCTTCCAAATCAAATCCAGTATGGAGCTGAAAAAAAATTAAAAATAACATACAAGAGTGCTTCATAAGGTAAAGCAGGGCCTAAAATGATAATTATGGATCCACTTTAATAATGAGTTTTATAATAATTATTAATAGAATCAAGAAGAGTACCTTAATTTTACATTACTTATATTGAACCAAGTGACTTTTTATTTTTAATTTTGAGATTCCTTCACTACATTCCGAGAACTTTATATCCATCTTGTCTAATACTTGTTAACAAGGTATATTTTGGTTTATTAATTTTATATTTAAATGTCACTCTCTCTTTAAAAAAAAATATTAAAAAACCTATTCTCTGTTTTTAATACTGAGAAAATTTGATTTTAATAATTTAAATAACAGAACATGATGTTTCAGAGACAAATTTACACATACATGTTAAATTTTATAAGCTAAAAATTTTATTATTCTCCAAATTACAGGAATTCACTCAATTTCTATAACGATTAGCATTAAGAAAAACTTCATAAAAAATATTTGTTAAAAACATATTTTAACTGTTTCAGGAGCCCAAGAATACGGTGAAGCAGCTGCTTATATTCAAGCGCAGTTTGAAGCAAAAAATAAATCAACTACAAAAGAAATTTACTGTCATATGACTTGTGCTACAGATACTAATAACATTCAATTTGTTTTTGATGCTGTAACAGATGTAATTATTGCCAATAATCTTAGAGGTTGCGGTCTTTACTAAGTGAAAATGAAAATTTATTGATTTATTGGCTATAATAATGTATATGATACTCATCTTGTTGCTCTATTTATTGTGGGTAATGAACCACTTTGGTGCAAAAAGTAATTTTAAGTTTATTCAATGTGTACCATAAAAATATAAATTATATAAATAAATATATATATATATATATATATATATATATATATATATATGCATTGTAATAATATATATAATTATACAGTATTTAATAACAAAAATATAGTGTGAGAGGTTGTATGAGAGAGTGAAAGTATTTGTCTGTGTGAGGTGTGTGTTTGTTTCATTTTTTTATATTTTTTTTATTTGTGTTAGGATTTGTATAGTACTGTTTATACTCTACCAAAAATTTAATTATTAAACATTAATAATGCTAATTAAATTGTATTAATTATTAACTACTGGATCAAAAGATGTGATGGGTTAAATACCAGTTTATACATTATACTTTTGTAAAAAAAAATGTGTGTATGAGATTCTTTAAATTTGTTATGTGAAATCTATTTGTTGACTTTTTCATTAATAGTTTACTGTAATTAAATAACAGTAAACTCTCTCTTAACCCTTGGTTGTGTTAACTGAAATGCTGTTTTATAGCATAAAAAAGGAAAAGATCCATATCATATTTTTAAATTCAATCACAACAAAAATATCACAATTGAAAAAATGATATTATTAATCAAAATCTTATTTTTTTCATTGTTTTATTTTTGGGATGAATAGACAATACTTTATATTATTTAATTTAATAAATAAAGTTCATCTCTTTCATATGTCTTAAAAAACTTAGTTCCTTTTTTTTTTTACATTTATTAATGCTTTTTGTTATTTGTCATTTTTCCTTAACCAGATTCATTATACTAGCATTGCTGGACAAGGGAGAGTCTACTGTAAAATATTTCTTAAAGACCTCTTTTGGAGTGTTAGATGTATTTAGTGTATTTTATATATATATATATATATATATATATATATATATATATATATATATATATATATATATATATATACATATATGTATAATAGATGTCTCAGCAGAATGTTTCTAGGTGTTTTATAAGCTCCATGTATTTGTAAACAAAAATAATGTATGAGTATAGTTGCAAAGATATAAAATCAAACATGGATAAGAAAAACTAGATAGATATCAACAATAAATGAGAATGATGTTTGTAATGTAGATAATGAAAGAAAGTATGTGTGATATTTATCTTTTCAACATCCTTTGATTCTCTTTTGAGTAATTGTATTTAATTAGTCTCTCCATTAAGCTATTGCATTGCTCTTTTTTTCAAATATTCTTTCTTATCATTTCTATTAAATTAATGGCTGTTATATCACTCTAGATATTTATATAAGCCATCTAGGAATTGTGTACCACTTTTTATTATTATTATTCACTGAATGGTCTTCCACAATCATTACTACTGCCACTATATTATAAATAATAAACACATTTGCTGATATATCTTAAGAAATTGGCTTGAAATACTTTTTGAGCTAAATTGTTTCTACAATATCGAAATATTGTTTTTTGTTTTTTTTTCATAAACCTTATCTTTTGAAATTTTAATTTAAAAGCCACATATAAAGACTGGGAAATGACTGTTCAGAAATGTAAAGATAAAGAAAATATATTTAAAATCACAATAAATAATGAATGAAGTCTAAAGCACAATTACATAATTTAATATGGCACAAATATGCATTTCCTAGATTGCATTTAATTTCTGATGACATTCCATTAAGTATTTTATTTGACTTATATTGTTTCATGACTATTTAAAAAATAAAAATAAAATAATTCATTATTTTTAAAAACTGCATTGTAATAATTCATATTTATATTCACTTCTTTTGCATATGATTCATGATAGTATTTATTATTAAATAAAATAGGAATACAAGTATTTTACTTAATAGGGTTATAAAATTGTAATGAAATATTTGGAATTTGAAAGAAATTTTTAATAATAAGTTCTACAATAAAATTTACTTACATGTTTTATGTAATAGAAAATAATTATGTGTAATGGAGCTCAATATTTATGTGTAAATAAATAACTTAAGTCCAGTCAGTCCTTAAGAATTTAAAATTTTGTTGTAGTATTTAGTATTTGGAAATATCACAAAGATGCAGAATTAAAGAAAAAGAAGAAAAGTTGGGAGAATTTTCATAATTGAGACAAAAAGAAGGCTGAATGAAGAGAAGAGATAAGAAAAAAAAAAGAACTTGAATAGTGATTAAAGAGAGATAATTTAAAATAAAACATCATGTAAGTAAAATCAAAAAGCTGAAAACATTCATTACATATGTTTTTTCTACAAATATTTTCTTATTAAAGAAGAATTGCATTCCATATATCTTCCGTGTTAATTAATTTTAGTGTAAAAACAAAACAAAATAAAGATTGATTTAAAATAAAATAAAATTTGTTGATACCATTTGAATATTCATTATTATTGTGATTTATAAAACAGATAATAATTTACTTCTAAATATAATTAAATATGATCCTTTGACTTGTAAAATGATGTACAATATTATTTTTTATACAATTAATTTAGGTTTCATATTACGTTGGTATAATAAGCAAAATATAGATTTTGATTATTTGCATTTTCAACATTTTTAAATTTATTTTTTACAAAAAATAGTTAAAATCATCTAGAAATGTTTGTATTTAGTTCAAAATAGATTAATTAATTACAAAGGACCTAATAAACATGTAAATTTAAATTCATCAAACAATATTATTTGTTGTATCTACACAGTAATACATATATAAATTAGTTTGTTAACTACCCCTACTATTATTTCCAATTTAGATATTCAATAATATGTTTCTTTTAAATTTTAAAATTAGCAAGACAACTAAAAAATAGTAGAAGTCTAGTCAAATTATGTATTTATTTATTTTATTTTTTGTCTTTTATTAGTGCAATGTTTGCTGAATATAATGTATAATTTTAATTTTAGATTAATTAAACCAATTATATTAAATATACAGGTACAAATGTTATAGTATATCATTGTTTAAATATTCTTTTATTTTTTGGTAAAAATCACAAATGTTTTAAGTTAAAGCAAAACAAAATGAGATTTTTACAATGGAAACGTTTTATTTTTGCTACCTTACACAAATGTAAAAATACTTTGGTAATTTAGGAGACAAGGTTTCGTGTATTATAATTGGCTTATGCTTACCCACTATTTTTTCTTCTATAATTGTCACTATATTCAATGTATGTATGAACTGTATTAAAAAACTTAATATGTTGACTTTTACATTGATATTAAACATCGTAGATAAATGTAATTTTCTGAAATCAATCAATAAATTAGTACAACTTCATTAGTATTTTATGCAATTACTTCTTCACATAAACATTTCTCCTTTTGAAAAGAACTCTCTTAATATAATGACTACTTGGTCATGCATCGTAAAATCTATTTGATAAATCTAGGCCTCTTTTTTTGGGTTCTATCAAAGATAAAGAGATGGATAATGTGATTATAGAGTAGAGCCACCCTCTAATGCTATATTCCAAGATTTATTAAGCTCATTAAGTTATATTCATTTATTAAGTTTTATTAAGGTCATCCGATGATATATCTCCATTAATATAAATTTCAAACTCCTGTTATCTAGTGTTGCTTAGTATTCAATAAATTTTTATTAAAAATAAATTAAACTACTTAAGCATGAATTTGGACAACCAGTTATTGTCTTTTATTTTTTCCAGTACTGGTGAAACTCATCATGTTTGCTTTCAAGGGTAGAACAAGGGATTCAAATCCTCTTGAGCTGCTCTTTCTAATCCTAGACTATTTGCATATCTCAACTTTACTTGTGACTATAAGCTGACAAACAGATTCGGTTAAGTAATTTTTAACTTGAATTCTATTTAAACTTACAATATTATTTATTTTGTTTGGTATAATGTGTGCCCATTATATTACGAATGAGTGCTTTTAAATAAAGCTTAGTAATACTTGTGATTTAGGAATCCAAAATACCGAGCTGTGTATGAGATGGAAGAGGTACTGAGTTAAAAAGGATATGTGGACAGCATCTGTGTAGGAGGTTAAATGTGACATGCTTGCATTTGGATTCATTGATTTTGTTGTGCCTTTTAGGTTTAAGAATGCTGTTTCAAGGTCTGGGTGGGATGATAGGATGGCAGTATCGTCAACAAATGTTGCTAGAAGGGTATCAGGTTGGGTTGAGATGTCAGCTGTGAAAAGGATGTAGATTACTGGGCCTAAGACACTGCCTTGTGTCACATACATATGCAATAGCATCATACGAACCACCCGCTTTCCTCTTTTATGGAAAAATTCTACTATTATCCTATTTCCAAAACCAGGCAAACCTCCCAACAGCTTAACTTTCTACAGACCCATTAGCTAACTTCTGATCCTTTCAAAAATCCTTGAAAAGATCCTCCTGAAACGAATCCTACCCTTTATAGAATCTCAAAATCTTCCTTCACATCAGTTCAGATTCTGTTCGCAACACTCCACAGTCCAACAAGAACTGACATTGAGTGGTTGATCATATGTCCGCAGCCCTGGAAAGCAAGTAATATTACTCGGGTGCATTTCTGGACATAGCTCAAGCTTTTGACTTCAAGCTTAAGCTTTTATGGCATGATGCGCTTCTTTTCAAACTTAAAACCCATCTGCCGCAGTCTTTAAACCTTGTCCTCTGCTCCTACCTCTCTGATGGCACCTACCGAGTTCGCTGCAACACTGAATTTTCCAATTGCTATCCAATTGAAGCTGGTTTTCCTCAAGGTAGCATTTTAGTTCCGGTCCATAACATCCACTTTACTGCTGATATCTCTGTCCATCCTCATACCTTCCTGGCACATTTGCTGATGACATCACCATTCTATCATCTGACTCAGATCCTGATATAGCATCCTTAAACCTTCAAAGACACCTCTCCCTGATTGAGCACTGGTGTAATAAATGG